GTATTTTTTTTCCTGTTAAGCAAAATTGGAAGGGAGAAGAAACTCTTTTCGTGTTACTCGGTCGTAATTTAATGTATAATGCGCGCGGTTCAACGTTTGCTCATCAAAGATTTATGCAAATCGATAAATATCGACTGGTAGCTGGAAATTCTCTAACGAGCAAATTGTAAATATAACTTACATTCCTCGTATCTTTTGTTTGCCGGATAATCGATCATTGTAATCGTAATAATGTATAACGAGCCGTAATTTATGTTTACCTTCAATATATTTATGTATTTTAATGGCGACAAATATTAATTTTTCTCTGTCATCGAAAGTAGATTAATGAAAATTAGACTAATAAAGTGAAAATCGATTATACGGTCTCCCTGTCACCTAATTTCTTCTCTTTATTTTTCCGTACGTAAAGTTTGGTTCGGTTTTATGGTGTAAGGTAAAGCAACACGTGGAAATCTCTAGGGGGGATACCACTTGGGAGCAATTTCTATGAGAAACTGGACCTGTTTAGATGTTAGATACCTGCCAATGAGGCATTCTCTGCGTGGAACTGACCCCTATTCGGGTGTTAGATATTTTCAATGGGAATATTTCTTGTGAGTTCCCTATTTTGTTGCCAATAATAACATTTTCTACAAGAAACTGGCCCCTATTTAGGTGTTAGATACATGCCAATGGGGCATTTTCTGTGGAAAACTGACACCTATTTACACACGGAAAATTCCACGTAGATAGCTGGCTCAGAGAGACACGAACCCGCGACCATCTGTCAAATAGTCTTATCCACTCGTCCACGGGTGGGGGTGCATAAAATTTACAGAACATGCAGACACTACATAATAGAGAAAACATTAAGACAAAAAAATTACGTGCCTATTCTACTCCAACGATTGGAGGATCGATAGAATTCTTCGTTCTTTCATTCTAGAGGAAAGAAATTATTTGAAATTTTACACGAAACGAACAATTATCGTTACCAAAATATAAAAAATACAACCTTCTTTCGCTTCTGTCGTATGAAAATGAAGTAAAAATCAAAATTAATCTCCACCAGATTAACACAGAATTTCCTAAAGAATTGTCATTTTAATATTATAGAATTCTAGAAAAAAAATTTAAAAAAAAAAGAAGAAAAAAGGAGATTTGCCACGACCTACGACCTTCATTTGTCAGCAGAAAATAGGAAAATGCGTGTTTTCATTTAATATAATAAGAAAATATTACGGGATACGTCGAGTCGAATTAACGAAATTACGTTCGACCGAATTTATTTTAAATTAAAACTAATTAATTTGAAATTAATGTCATAAAATAACGACGTTTTAATAAAGCTTTTGCTTTTGCTAATTAATATATAATAATTGTCGAAATGAAAGCTCTCGCTTAATATAATAAAATTAAACATACATGAAAATTCTTCCGTTAAAAAAAATAATAATTCCTGAAGCGAGTTGCATAACTTTCCCAGCAATAGTTAAAATTCCGTGTGGCTCCATCTGTTATCGGGTTTTATTATAATTTTTTTTAAAGTTTCAGTTTTGTTCCTACATAGATTTATACAATATAAAGAAGTATACCTGAGCTTCAGTTTATTTTAAACGTTTTAAAACGTTAAATTCAATAATGAATTATAAAAGCATTATAAAAATTACTAAATTTGATTGCAAATTTAATTAAAACGTACATTAGAATCAATCACCAATATTTTGATAAAATGTTTCAATATCTTCCATATTTTAACATCTTCAACTACTCTTGTATGACGGCCGGATAGCCGAGCGGTCGTAGTGACAGCCTTCCGCTTTGGAGTTCGAATCTGTACGGGTCGATAAATTCTCAAGAATTTTTTGAGTTGTGGTCCGTCCGGATATGTCTGGGCCCAGTTCGTCACCACCCGGCCTCCCCAAACCCATAATAAGCTTGCTAAAAGAGTCCCAGAGAACGGAAAGAGTTAAAAAAAATTTACNGGGTTTTATTATAATTTTTTTTAAAGTTTCTATATTATTAAATATTATAGAGTAAAAATGGCTTAGCTTTTAAAGTAGAGATTGGTTTTATAAAAAAAAATAAAAAGAATTGTAAATACTAATAACAACTCCACTCGGGATACGTCACTCGACCTCCTCTATCTCCTCACTCTCTCGGTCTTTAATCACAAAAATTTAGTAGTGTCAAACCCCCAAATACGTAAACTTCCCCCCAAAATTTCAGAAAATTTCGACAAAGGGCACGGGAGTTATTAAGCTTTAAAGTGGGCGAACAAAATCGTGCTATCTCACACTAACGTACAGGAAATCCCCCCTAACTGTATTTGAATAAGAATATCGGGAGTAATTTTTCGACTGGTTGCAATACTTTCCCTCTGTTATAAATAACAAACGGGAAAGTAAAAAGAAAAGGAAAAAAAATCTATAATAAAATTACCCACAATTACCCCCCCTTAAATTGAATGTTTTCTTTTGGAAAGTCAATAAGATTTTTTTTCTCTGGTATAGAATTAAAAAAAGGTTGCTGTTTGCAGCTGAGGCATGTACTCAGATTTGTCGTTACTCTCTTAACAATTGAAGAAGGTCTCCGGTTACGGCTTTCTCGCCGCAAGAAATCTCTTATTGACAGCGTAACAACATCGATTTTTTACAAATAGAAGCAAATTATGCGCTTACTTATCGACTTTCTGCGGGGTGGTGGGAGAAATTAAACGCGTTACGCACAGCATTTTATGTGTTACTGAACGGTAACAAACTTCACGAACAATTTGTCCGAAACTTCGATTTAAGAATAGAAACGAGAGAAGGAAACGAGGTTGAGATCCCTCCCATCTGTTACAGTAATAGGATTCTTTAATACGTTCCATCCTTTGGGGTTACCCAAACAGAATTACGTGGGATATCGATCTGAAAACACTAGCAAACGTAACACGGGATCTACAATTGCATTCGTTACAATGGATCCCTCTATACCGAATAGCTAATACTAGGATCGTTTCGAGCCATCTTGAGCTTTGCGGATGACTTGCAGAGTTACGCTAATAATAAGTAACGTAGGATCGTAACAATCTTCTTTTTATGGAAAGTTAAAACGAGAGAGATCAATGGCTGCTCGTTATGCAAATGAAGGAGTGATCCACTTCTCGCTCGTTTCTTTAAATAATTGATAAACGCCTGCTCTGTGGGTAGTGTTACGTGTGTCGCGCTCACCTTTTGTCATACGTACGTTACGCCAATGACAATAATTTGTTTCCGTTAATAGAAAGTTAGAATGTTAGAGGTCGTTGTAAAAATGTTTCAGCTTATAACTTTTTATACCGTTCGAAAGAAACGTATGGCAACTTTACCATACGGATCGTCGAAAGGAGGTTCTCTTCTCCCTTTTAAATTGATAAAACCTTGAAGTTTTACAAAGGAAAGGAGGTTCTCATCCCCGGTATTGAGACAGGCTCGAGCTCCCACTAGTAAAGTTACGATAAAACGGGGAGGACGATAACCCATCGATCGCAAGACTACGAATGGCGCAAGAACCTGGGAAAGGAGGAAAATATTCAACAATCTTTCGATTTGTTAGCCAAATTTTCAGCTCCAAAAGCGGAATAAGCCACTGTATCCTGTTCCAAAATACGTTCCAGGAATACCAAAAGTCTGAAAGCTTGGCACTCCACTTCATACCCACAATTAAAGATAACCTGTAACTAAATCCCTACGTTTTAGATAGAATAAAACCTGTGTAAACCGGACATTTATTCCGTTTAGACAGGTATTACTGTGATTCTATTGACACCCACCTGCCAGTTAATCCTCTAGAAAGATTCTTCAACCATGCAACAAATTTTAGCCTGGGTATTGTTTGGCAGAAATTGCCAAAAAAAAAAAAGAAAAAATAATGGAGAAGCAAGAAGTCGTGAAAGGAAAGAAACGGCATCAATTTTTTTGCCCGCGAAATCTCCCACACGGCCGAAGATAACCCCCCGCAAAAACCGAGGTCGATCGCGATCGACCGGAAAAATCGAATAGAGGGACGAAAAGGACGAGTCAACCATTTTTTTTTTTACAGGAATGACGGGAAGGGGGTGACCGAAAAGGAGCAGCGCATCGATCGCGTCTAAATCGTTTCGATTCCAGGCGCAGAACACTGCCAAAATGTACTTTCCAGTCAACAATTACCGCTGCCGAAATTTAGGGAGGGGAAGGATTTACTTCTGCCCAGATTACGAAAACCGCAAAATCGAAACGTTTACCGATGGTGGATCTTTTAACTTAAACAAGAGCAACGTCACCGGCAGGAATCTCGTTTGTAATGTTAATTACGCCGCCTAAGTATGTTGACATTTTTCTAAGCTTTTTGACAGATCGATCAGCAGAACGTAATTCCAAATGAAAATCGAGTGGCAAGGAAACGTGGGGTATTCTCTTGAGGCTCGAGTTTTTTTTTTTTTTTTTTTTGAGGGATACCACTTGCGGCTCGAGCTTTCTTGAGGGATTCCTCTTGAGACTCGAGCTTTCTTGAGGGATTATTTATACGGGTCGATGAGATAAAACGATGAAAGGGGAAAGCAAGGTGAGGGAGGAATCGCGAACCCAAAAGAGCGAATGAAATAGAAATCCGGGACCCGCTCCGTTTTGGGACGGACCATGGATGACCCGCGCACTGCGGACTATCGATCCAAGTCGGGATCGATGAAACGCCGACGAAAGCTGACGCTCCCGCCATTGGCCCCGGGATGTTGTTGCCAATTGTCCTTTCCAGTAATCCGTTGGGACGATCACGACCCACGTTGGTCTTCCTTCCAATTTTCTTTCTTCCACTTAATTAATTCCGAGAATTAACAGTGTTTGTTGTTATGTCTGGCATTTAATTCCTCGCCTGGTAGTTTTTCCCTCCTTCCACCCCGTGATTCTTTACTTACATTTCCGGCAATCGATCGAAATTCGCGAGTTGTTTTCGCGGCGCGCGTTACACGCGGTGATGGCACGGCGAAGAGTTTACAAAAGAAGGAGGGCACTCACCTGTATGTACTCGTCTTCGCAGCGAAGATGCTCGGCAATGAACTCTACGGCTTCCGTCGCTCGACACGCTTCCGGTGAGAGGAAGAGCACGTCCCCTCCGTCTCCGTGGGCCTCTTGATCCAACGAAGACTTTCGTGCCACGGTGCAGTTCGGATGATGGATGTCGGCCAGTTCGACGAAATCCGTTTTCTGCCTGACGTCGCACGATTTGGGCTCCGGTGATCCGTGGTAGTGTTGATGCACCCCGACGCCGGGCATCTCCATCATCCAGACCAATCTGGTCTTCCTCGGCCTTTTCATGAACAACAGAGCCGGCAGAAACTTGAGAAACACCACGCGCACCCAATTTGGCATTCGGTGCGTCCTGGGTCCGCGAAAATTCCAATTGATGATGACTACGGTGACTAAAATGGAACACGTGTTCATCAGAAAGGTGAAGAGCAGGTACTTGGCGATCAGCGGTAAAACTAGCGACGTGGGTGGTAAGATTTTGGACACCAGAAGTAGAAATACCACCAAAGACAGCAAGATGGATATTCCCAGCGTCACCTTCTCTCCGGCCTCGGCCGGAAGATAGAAGACCAGGACGCAGAGGAAAGAGATCAACATCGTCGGCATGATCAGGTTGACCGTGTAGAATAGGGTCTTTCGCCGAATTGTGATGTAGAACGAGATGTCGGTTTCGGTCGGCTGACCCGACTTTGAGTTGTTGTAGACGTTGAGGAAAGCGGGAGCTTCCACGATGTCCCAGGTCCCGCTCTTCCAGTAGTCGGACAGGTCCACCCAGTGACTGTCGTCGTAGAAGTTTAAGGACACTTGGTCGCCGTTAAAGGTCCACGAGCCGAATTTCATCACGCACCTCTGCTGATCGAAGGGGAAGTAAGTGACGTCGATGGTGCACGAACTCTGGTAGATGGCCGGCGGCACCCACATCACCTGTCCGGAGTTGTAGATCAGAACGTTGGATTTGTATCGGACCTCGTAGTTGCCGTCGGCGCTACCAGAACAAGACAGAAAAGAAAGAACACGGGGGTTAAGCGGCTGATAAGATCACGCGCCTTCACGCGCCCGAATACCTACTTGTTGAAGAGCACGATGTCCGGCTTCCACACTTTGTCGGGAGGAAGGCGCAGCACCGAAATACCTCCGTAGTCGGACTCGTCCCAGACCAACTGGTAGTCGTTCCACATCTGAAAACACACGAAACCTTTACGCCATCCGTCCGGCGCCACGGACATTCTCCACACATAAATCTCCCTTTCGCCGACAATCGGAAATTTTCTTAGGAATCGATTTTTCCGGTAGAGGAAGGAAAGTCGCTTCGATCGATGCCTCCACCGCGTGGCTCTCTAGTCGCGCGAGAAAGGCCACCACTCCGAAAGCGAGAGGAGGAAGAGAGAAGAAAACCTCTTCCTCTTCCCACCCGGAAGGTAAAACTCGAACTACGGGTTGGAGAGGGGCGGGACGGATGCCATGCAAACACCCCCCTCGTAATGATCCGTGTCCGTATTTACTAAGGGGTGCGGGAAGAAATTAACGGGAGGAAAGAGTTTTTCTTCTTCTCTTTTACGTTAATAAAGCGTCACGCGTTTGAAACAATTAAGATTAATGTATAATTAATAAACGTGTTTGGCTGGGTTCGTTCAATTAACAAAGGTAAACCGAATAGTTTACGTCATACAAAGTAAATATGCTTCTTTTCGTTTTGTTGTTTAAATATTTAGCTTAATGAATGTTTAATGAAATCGTTATTAACATTCCCGTCGAGATGTTTTGTTTTCTCGACGATACAAACAGAAACGTCATAATATCTAATTATACCGACTAAAAACGTGCAATTGTCGATACACTTGCAATAATTTGCATATATTTTTGCATAGACGTTTGTGGAAGGCATTAAACCGTAATTTCTGTTATTTATAGTGTTATTTCTAGTGTTCCTTTCAAGTGTGCTATTTGTAGTGTTCCTTTCAAGTGTGGTATTTCTAGTGTTCCTTTCAGTGTGGTATTTGTAGTGTCACTTTCAAGTGTGCTATTTCTAGTGTTCCTTTCAGTGTGGTATTTGTAATGTTCCTTTCAGTGTGGTATTTGTAGTGTCACTTTCAAGTGTGGTATTTGTAGTGTTCCTTTCAAGTGTGGTATTTGTAGTGTTCCTTTCAAGTGTGGTATTTCTAGTGTTCCTTTCAGTGTGGTATTTGTAGTGTCACTTTCAAGTGTGCTATTTCTAGTGTTCCTTTCAGTGTGGTATTTGTAATGTTCCTTTCAGTGTGGTATTTGTAGTGTCACTTTCAAGTGTGGTATTTGTAGTGTTCCTTTCAAGTGTGGTATTTGTAGTGTTCCTTTCAAGTGTGGTATTTCTAGTGTTCCTTTCAGTGTGGTATTTGTAGTGTTCCTTTCAAGTGTGGTATTTGTAGTGTTCCTTTCAAGTGTGGTATTTCTAGTGTTCCTTTCAGTGTGGTATTTGTAGTGTTCCTTTCAAGTGTGGTATTTGTAGTGTTCCTTTCAGTGTGGTATTTGTAGTGTTCCTTTCCGTGTGGTATTTGTAATGTTCCTTTCAGTGTGATATTTGTAGTGTCCCTTTCAAGTCTGCTATTTGTAGTGTCCCTTTCAAGTCTGCTATTTGTAGTGTTCCTTTCAAGTGTGCTATTTGTAGTGTTCCTAGTGTAGTATTCCTCCAAGTATGGGCAGAAGAATTGTAATCTAAACTCTTCTAAAGCTACACAATGCCAAACAGTACACTAGATAAACGTGATTTTTTAACACGTGTGCATTATATTATTCGTTCCCCTCGTATTTAGAGAGGGCCATCAGAGACCGAGCCACCTTTACTAATGAGGTTTTCACGTATTCCTATACATTTAAGTATTCTTTTCGCTTTCCAAACAATGCAAAATATTGTTTCAATATAAACATTTCTCGTACCCACCGAAGAGAAAGGAACCATTTAATATTTAACTTTCCCAATCTCTAAATTGTTTATCTAACTGACCCTTAGCAGTTTAAACCGCGTGAAATGAGAGATTTCGACAGAAAGATCCCCGGGGTCTAGATTTCAATATCCGCTTGTCTCTCGTATGCGTATTCAAAAATATATTCGAAATAGAAAAGGAAATTCTTCGAATCGTATCGAATTTTGTCCGGGATTTTTTCCTTCTTTTGTTAAGGAAAAAAAAAACAAAGTTTGGCTCCAGTTTTAGAAGTAAATAAGAATGGCCCAAAAATCACACTAGACACCAGACAAATATTATAGAATAATAGAAAAAGTCTGGAGGCGATGGATGCTGGCAAATCGAATAGAGAAGAAATACTTTCAACTAACAAAGAAATTAGAGAAAATACAATAAGTTGGACAATTGAAGTATTCGTGAGTTTCGAAATCGATTCTCTTGCTATGAAAGAGAATCGATTTCGAATCGATCTTCTGGTTATAAAAAAAAGAGGGACGACATCTTTGTTAAGAACTTTTCGAGAGGAGTAAATTCGAATTTCATAATGACGAGGACAAATTCGATTGGGATGGAAACACTACAGTATTGTCTTATAAAAGAAAGGGTCGTACTTACTGACGAAGCGATAATAATACCTGTAATTGAAGCTTATGTAATTGTTTCCGAGTGGTTGTTACGTGTTCTCGAGTGATGGAAAGAGCGTTATATGCGGGGTTGATCTAATTAAAATCCTCAAATCTTACTAACAATGGGAATGCATTAGTTTTTTTTTTCGAATCCAAATATAAACAATACATTTACGAAGTTATAAAGGGAATGCTAAACAAGAAGCTGGTGTTTTGAGATAATTGCATTATGTATTATGACGTATTTCTTTCTTTTGTCTTAGAACTTTCGCTCCCTCGTTTCAAATACGAATTGTACTATTAGTCAATTGTAATTGTGACGTGCGGACACAGGAACTTACCAATTGGAGCCAGACGTTCGACGTCATAATCTGGTTCTTCTCGTTCTGTAATAAATAAAAGAGAAATGTTAGCCAAAAGTCTTTTAATTCTACGTAATAATAATTAAAATATTGTTAATATTCAAAGACATTACTCTGTATTAAAGCTACACCCAAAATAGGAAAGAAGGTCAAAGGTTACGGACTGTAAAACTGTGCGAAAAATTGTTATATATTACGTAATTTATATTGTTTTACGAGAATAAATCTGGCGGGGATGACGTAAATCGCTCAATTTTAAAGAAGGATCTTCGTAAACACCAATTTATCGATTGCTTTTTTCTTTGCTTCTTCATATTTTATTTATGATAATGGAATGTGTTATGTATGGAATTGTTCTTCCTCGGTTTCTATTGTTTCGGTTTTAAAAAAATACAAAGGTTTGGTGAGATACAGCAACGTAACACAAGGGGAGATCTGCCAAGGGGGTTCCACTTGTTACGGCTTTTTATGGTATTTTCGCCCATATCTAGGTGTTAGAGACATGAGAAAGAGCCAGAAAATACCACGTTGGTGAGCGTGAACCCTCGACTAGTGTTCAGATAGGTGTTAGGAACGTGAGGAAGAGCCAGAAAACACTACGTTGGTGAGCGTGAACCCTCGACTAGTGTTCAGATAGGTGTTAGAGACGTGAGAAAGAGTCAGAAAACACCACGTTGGTGAGCGTGAACCCTCGACTAGTGGTCAGATAAGTGTTAGAGACGTGAGGAAGAGCCATAAACACCACGTTGGTGAGCGTGAACCCTCGACTAGTAGTCAGATAGGTGTTATAGATGTGAGAAAGAGGCAGAAAACATTACGTTGATGAGCGTGAACCCTCGACTAGTGTTCAGATAGCTGTTAGAGACGCGAGGAAGAGCCAGAAAAAAACTCTACTTTGGTGAGAGGTAAACCCGCAACCGGTGCTAAGAGCTTTTACTTTTAAAATTGCTATTGTTCAGAGGTTTTGTCCACTCGTCTACTGGCGTATAAGTACAAGGAAAAATCGAGAAATAACACACATCAGGCGAAACAAACAGACAAGACGAACGAACAACCTTAAGATCTTAGAGCAAAATTGTTAGAAAGACGACGAAAAGCCCGTTATTTCCCATAGAAACGTTTCCATCCGAAGAAACAAACGTCTGTCCAGGACGTTGTATCGCGACACTACACTTATCTGTAGATAACAGGTTTAACCTTATACACTTTTTGCACTAGATTCTAAGCGATTTTCTGCAATTGGCTGCACCTTCGAGGAAGATTTATGGAAAAATAAATAAATAAATACGAAAGAAACGATGATTAGATCCGCATCAATCTCCAAATGAGTCGGATAAAAATACTTCATCCAAGAAAACAAAATCGAGTAGCTTATAAAGGATGCCGAAACTACTTTACTTTATTAAATTACTTTATATTGATTTGGAAATTAATTAAAATTCGAAATTACAGGAGGGGGAGGGAGAGAGATTATAATTATTATTTTTTTAAATAGAACAAATCGGTAATCACGCAGCATTAAACTAGACTAATACAGTAATTATTTTCGAGTTTAAAAACAACAGAATCGAGTTGCAGAAAGATCGTAAGTTACGTTATTACGGGGTTGAATAACGTAACACCGAGGGAATCGGCTACCGAGTAACGAGAGATAAATAGGATTTAGAGAGCGTTGTTACGATATTCTGGCGTAGCAAGTTACCACAATATTTTCTTAATTTCCATCCGGAATTGATTCTACTACCGTTACGTTTTTATCCGCTCGTAACCAGAATCCACGGGAAGATAAAAGAAACTGATGTCTATAGAGTAACACTAATGTATGCCATACTATATATATAAGTAACCGTTTTTTCCCATCATTTCCTCGCCCGTAAACTCGGCGTAACAAATAAGTTACGTTTCTCACAGCCAAAAAGAAAAATGAGGAGATTTCAATTTCTTCGGAGGAAGTAAATTGCTGAACGTTTTAAATTTCGGAAGATTTTCGAGTAACATCTCGCGTTACACCCCGGAAGAAGTTACGAGGGGTTGTGTTTTGGCGCTTGGGATGGAAGAGGAAGAAGATAAACCCGATCCGAGAAGAGGAGGGAGGTGTTTGCTAGATTCCGATCGATGTCGATATAATTCATCACTCGACTCACCCCACCGGACGACACACCGGTGGCGCTTCCTTCCTCTTCTTCCTTCCCCTCCTCCCCCGGCCATTCTTCTGGCGTGGGGTCGCCTCTTCCACCTCTTAATAGCCGGGGTG